GCCTGCCGTGGCATGTAAGGACCTCATGAAGTTATTGCTATTAAACGGCATGTGGTTTTTGCCATTGTGGTTGGTGGAATTGTGTGTTATTTCTGTGGGGATGTTTTACCAGGAGCATGGCATGTGCTTCAAGGAGGAGCCAAAGGTTAAGAGAACACAGCGAGCAGGAGAACGAATGGGAAATGTGGACAAAGCGAGGAGGAAGAAAGCACCATAGATGTCCCTTTCCATAAAGTGTCTCATTTGAGGGGTCTCCTGTGGCAGTGGGCTGTATGCAGGTTGTCATGCTTTGTGTCTGGTAAACGTTACTGTACAAGGGACACAAGGGCTGTCGGCTGCGCACCGGGGGTGGGAGATCTCTTGCACCCAGCTCCTTTTGCCCACTACTGTTCAGGAGGGCGACAGGAGGAAAGGCCCTGGCAAAATGTGGTGGCACAGTTGGTATCCTTGGCATTATGGCATCATTTTCAGAAAGACCCAGAAGCGATATCGTCGTGCCAGGAGGAGGCTTGAGCATTCACCACCAACTCTGTGGTTAAGCCACAGAGTTTTAGGCGAAGGCTGGAGCATCACTCCAGCACAATGATTTCACTTTCAGGATGCTGATCACCCCCTTCCGAAGCAGAAGACCCCACTTCCCCCATCTCCTGCCGGTTGCCAGGCCATGGTTGGCAATCCTACAGCAATGGTGGGAAAGGCGGGCTTAAAAAATCAATTAATTAAAAGATTAATATATGACTATATTATGGAGTTACAGAACAACAGTTGTCTTACTGTAGATGTGCAGTAGCCAATAAAAATGGCAGCCTCACGCATCTAGCCACCCACTTCATAACATTAGTTTGGTCCGTTTGTAATGTGAAACCATTGCTTCTTGGACCTGTGCTTAGTTTGAGAAACCAGGATTCAGCTGACAGATGATCATTCAAATCCTGGTTTGCCTCGACAAATGCTGGTTTCATCTTCACTCTGTAGCCATGGGCGGTTGAACTGGGAAACATGAAGCATGGATGTCTATATTCCTACATCACACAAAACAATAGTTAAGACTAACTGGGGTTAATAAAAATGGCCTCTGACCACAGTGAAGTGAGCTGATTACACCTTCATTTTAGTCAGAACATGGTTTCACGTTCTGTCTGAACCGAACCAGTTGCCTCAAGGAGTGGTGGCACACTATTGTCCTGTGCCAGAAACAGCCTTTTATGGGGGAGACATGCAGAAAATGGAGATGGCACGGTCTGAGGTAAATTCTGCTAGATTTGACCGAGAGGGAAGTAAATTCATGGTGGCCATTTTGGGCAGCAGGACCATGTTTTAACAGAAACACCTAGATTGGGCCTTAGTGTATATCCACACAACAATGTAATGGAACAGTTGGAAGATAGAGTGTCCTCAGGTAGGTTACTGTGTTAATTTAAAGTAATAAATTTTTTTAGGATTTCTTAAAAAGCAGTGCTGACATTTTGGGTGGGTGGGGGAATGGGCCTCACCTGACCTGTTCCTTTCCCTCTGTAGAAATGATGTTTGGACAACAGTTGACAGTGAAAGCTACTAAGGTCTATGCCGATATATATATATATATATATATCCCCCCCCTCTCAAAATGATGAGAAAATAATTATTGGGGGGGGGAGTCCCTGAAAGAATACAGAACAATCCAGAAAATCAGGACTACAGGAACAAAGAACTGGGTTAACAGCAAAACATGAGGGACTAGAGCATCCCAAGGAACATAAGTTTCTCTGCCTCTGAAGAAAATTGTCTTGTTTACAGTATGGAGGGAAAATATCAGAAGAATGTTTCCTGCCTTCTCTCTGAAGAGCAATCTGGCAAGTATTTGGACAGTTTCTGCTTTTCCTGGAGCCATTTAAGTGCTATCTGTTGAAGACTGATGGTGTCAAACAGTGGCTTCAGTGGCTCTTTGACATACCACCTGTGGCGCTTTTGAGCACCATTATTCCCCAGCGTGACACCTGCCCCATTTTTCAGGAAAGTGGACAAGGCCCTTGTCTAGCGGGGCACATGGTGGGCAGGTGGTTTCCAACCTTGAAATAACTGCTTCCGGAAGAAGAGGTAAGCTGCGAGCCTCCCTGAGGTGCAGGCCTTATGTCAGGGATGGAAGTTAGGGTGACTTTGTTGGCTGATGGAAACTACAAATGTGGCTCCCCATGAACCGTGTAGCGAGTTCCACTGGACTAGAAGTAAAAGGAGCAGTAGCCTAGCTCACAAAACTGCATATAAAACCTGTGCGCTCAGAGCTAGGGTAACACATTGAAAACATACTTCTCAATACCGCTAGTATAAACAGCAAATAAATAGCAACATATTCTTACTATAAATTTCTTCAATACCGTGCTTTATAACCTAAACCTAGTTCTCAATAGGGTTGCCAAGTGTCACTTACCTCCTCCGCGGGGGACTCCTGGGTGGCTCCCAGAGCGCGCGTGTGAAGTGCGCACACGCCGCATGCACGTCACCAGGAAGTGACGTTATGACGCCGGCCATAGAGTTTTCCCTTGTATGGCCGTGGCCCCGCACCCAGCGTGCCCACGTCACTTCCTGGTAACGCGCAAGTCGGGGAGGAGTTCCCCCCCGGGGCCCGATCCGGCGGCGCCGGGGAACGGGCCTCTGGGGCGGGGGTTTCCCCGCCCCCTGGGGGGACTTGGGATCCCTAGTTCTCAATGGTATGGTTAGCCTGTACTAGGGACACACACACACACACACACAAGAATGCTCCTCCATACAAGACTAGGCTAGAATCTTTTCCCTGACATGCTAGCTTTCTACATGGGGGGGATTGGAGGCGCATTCTGTCATGTGATCCCTTTCCTGCAGTCTGAAGTGTTACTGCTCCAGCAAAGGTATAGAACTTCAGTGAGAACTCAGCCATATCCCGGCCTTTAAAAAAAATAAAAGTACATGTCCGGTCATTGTATCCATTTCTCAACTTGTATGTATGAATAAATAAATATATTTTCTATGTATTACCACAGCTTTGAGGGGTTTTGAAGATTGTTAACCTAGCCAAAATTGTAGATAGGCCCCAAGTGCAGGCAAGGAAGACCCAAGAGTGCAAGCACATCCAACTATGTGTGAGATTCAGCCCCCAACACACCTTCCTGGAGACAGTGGATTTGGATAAGGCCGGCTCAAGGTATTCGCAGAGTCTCTAAAAGGTCATTTGCAAGATCAGTGCTGTATGGCCAGCAGGGCCTTAGGAGGGAAAACTGATCTGGGCTGATTATGAGGGGAATTGGCCGTGTCCTCCTTAACTCTTGGCAAAGAACCTGGCTTTACCAGGTTTGAAATTACAGGCTGATATGATCAACAGAAACAAACCTAAGTGTTTTGTAAGGGGAGAACTGTCTTTTCCCCCTCTCTTTCTCAATAACAGCAAAGGACTCGGCAGAGTGTGAAATCTGCCCGTTATGCAGAAGTATCTAATTATGACCCCTGTATAGAATTGTGGATTATAATCCCATTTAATGAATTTGAAAGGGGGGGGGACACCTGGGCTCTGCTGAAAAGCACAGAATGGATAGCACCCTTTCCCTCTAACAAGGATTTGTGTACCTTTAACAGGAGCATTCAGTGGCTGAATTTTCTCCACAGCAGGAAGATGTGCCAACAGGAAAAACTTCACCAGCTAAATTTCTGCACTTCTATTCTGTCTCCTCCCCAACCCCCCAGAAATCGTATAGAAAAGATCCTGCTTTTTGCCCAGGAGACTTCTCATCAGTGTTCCCTCTAAGCTGAGTTAGTGTGAGCTAGCTCACCGTTTTTTAGCCTCCGGCTCACACATTTTTGTCCTAGTTCACGAAGAATTGCTCCAAAAGCAAACTAATTCATGCAGCAGCCAAATCGCTCGCTCACCATTTTAATGCCAGTAGCTCACGAAGTAGAATATTTGCTCACAAGACTCCATGGCTTAGAGGGAGCCTTGCTTCTCATTGGAGTGATTATGTCTTTATCGCCCTCAGTGCTCACAAATTCTCCCTCTGACAAGTGCTGTGTTTTAATCTTTTTCTCCTGGAACATCTTGGCAGGACTATGGGGTAGACGGTGAAGCTCTTGGCTCCTTCAGAGATGGATAGTTCCTTGCAGGTGCTCAACCAATGCAAGTGCATTCTCTCTCTTCCAGGCCACAGGCCAAATACAGTTTAGGAGCCACACTGATTATTAGATCTGTGTGCTCCAGAGACACTGGCACTGCAGCAGCCAATGTCGTGGAGTGTATAATTTGGGGATGACCTCTTTGGCTGCGGGGAAGGGTTACCAACCTCTGGGTAGGGCCCAGAATCAACAAACAGATCTCCAGTTTACAGAAACGAGTTCCCCAGGAGAAAAGCGGAGGCTGGACGACCATCTTTCGGGTATGTTGCAGGGCTATCTTTTGGCTATGCTCCTGCAGAGTGCAGGGGGTTGGACTAGATGACCTTTAAGGTACCATCCAACTCTAACATTCTATGATTCTATGAAAACAGCTAGACCCCCCACCCCCGGAGCTGGCAGCCCTGCCATTGCAGCAGGGAAACAAGAATGAATTAAATAACGGAAGGTTTCAGAAGCTATAGTTAAACTACAGACTGAAATGGGAGTGGCACTCAGTAGTCATTCTTTCTCACCTGGGACAGGTAGATTGGTTAAAGGCACACTGAGGATCAATGTTCCCTCTAAGCCATGGAGTCTTGTGAGCAAAAATCCTACTTTGTGAGCTCCTGGCATTGAAGCTGTGAGCGAGCGATTTGGCTGCTGCATCAGTTAGTTTGCTCTGGAGCCCTCCTTCCTGAGCGGAGACAAAAATGTGTGAGCTGGAGGCTAAAAAACTGAGCTGGCTCACACTAACTCAGCTTAGAGGGAACACTGCTGAGGATCTTTAACAGGATTCTTGGCAACCTCACCAAATTACAGTTTCCAGGATTTGTAGGAGGGGATCAAAATGACTGTGAAACTGCTAAAAATAAATAAATAGCCTCTATAAATTCGTAGCACGCCCTTCAGAAGCAGTCGTTCTCTTTATTTCCCATCACCCCCATTTCCTTACCTGGATTGCTTATGATTAAGACAAGTGCATTACAAAAGAAAAAGAAAAGAAGAACAGGAGCTCTAGGAGCCACCCACACACATATATATACAGCCTTACACAATCTAGTGACCTGAGACCTCTGCTTTTGCCATTTTGCTCCTAGCTAGCACCCCAATCCCGCTATGCGGAAGCAGACCTCTGTGCGCACATCCCTAGCTTCCTGGGGAACAGCACGCCCCCGCCTGGCTCCGTCCATACAGCTCACTTCTGCAATCCATCTGCTGCAGCTGCATGCAGAAACCATTACCCCCTCCCTTCCCCCCCAAAAAAAAATCACAGTGAGGGGGCTTAATTTATGCACACACACCCTTCCTTGCCGAACAGCTAATTGGCAGGATTTTTGCTTTTTCAAAAGGACTCAGCTGCTCCTAGTGCGCTCCAATGAATCAAGGCACAGGAATCTTCAGCTTTCAGAAAGCCCTGAGTATCGTAGAGAAATATACAGATTAAATAATGAAAATCCAGCAGGCTCCTTTCCTGCCATTACCTTATTTTTCTCCCGTGTCTGGGGCATACCACCCACCCACACACACTTTAACACAGAGGCCCTATTCACCAGTTGAAGTGAACGCCCATACAATCTAAGTACAGTGTGCACTTGATTTTTCTTCATCTGTACATTAAGTCATTCTCATGCTACATTCTGAATGTGTGATTCAAACTACGCATTTATCCAGGTACTGGTCCCCGGTTTCATTTGTAAAGGGAACGTGCGTTGGCTCTCACAAACAGATGTATGCCCGTGCAGGCAGGATGTTTGTATGTTCACTATAACTTCTGAACAGGCCTAAAATAAGCCCTGCTTCTAGTTCTTCTCATCCTACTTCCGTTTAGCCCCAAAGAAATGCCTGGGTGGAAGTTTCGAACAGGTGAGTGGAGATTTCTGGGTGGGAAGGCGGGAGGAGGTCGGGGGTCTGGCAGAGAAGACGTGTTCTAAGGGCAGAGGCGAAAGGGGCTTGTGAAAGATATGAAACACAGTCCTGAGGGCAGGGTCAGTTTTACATTTGGGAAAGACACCGCAAAAAGGGGGACTACACGAGAAGCAGTTTTCCCTTCTCATTCTGGACATGTTCCTAAACAGGGCTGGGTTATTTCGACAGGTGGACCGACCCTCTGTTAAATCCTCCTGCTGCCTCTCCTCCAGACCATGCTGTGAGTCGGCAGGTGTTGTATCGAACGAGGTAAGAGAAACGGTGACAGATACGACATGCTGTTGGCAACGGGGGAGGCGGGCGGCTTCAGCTGACGGGGAGATTACCTCACCTTTTGCCACGAACGTCTCCCCGGCAGGGAAGGCAGCCCTACGGAGCACTTCACACACTTTTATCACCATTTTCGAAGGAAGCACAAGGAGAGGATGTATTCCCGGATTCCTCCAGCCCAGGTCCCTCCCGTGTACCCCCTTCCACACATTGAAAGTGGCAGGAGAGCCGGTCCATTTAGCCCAAGTCCTGCGGCATGAGTCGCCATCCATAAGAGCCAGACGGGGCGGGCCACAGGACTCTCCCCAAAGCACGAGTGTAGCAGGGGTAGCTTGGTGAAGGGGGCGGGTTGGGCCCCCTTCCGTGTACAATTATAGCGGCACATCTTCGTCCTCCTCATCCAGGTCGGAGGCGTGCAGGTCGAGGTCCTTCAAGATGTCTGAGATGTTCTCAGCGGCCGGGCCGGTACGCTCCATTTCCTCCAGTTCCATATCGGCAACCGACATGGAGCGTGTCCCTTTCCTGTCCTTTGGGCTGGAAGATGTTTGTGGGCATGGACAACCAGGGGCCACGGAGGTGTCTGTCCCTGAGTCCTCAGTGGTCCCCCCAGGCGCCATGTTGACGCTGGGCTTGCTCCATGCCTGCGTGGCCCACTTAGCCTGCTCCTTGGTTGAGGTCTGGGTGGCGTCACGGAAGCTGGCGAGGGGAGGGCGCAGCTGGACGCCAGAGCTCGTGGAGCCTTCAATTGCTTTCTGGAGCTGAGAGGTTCAGAGAGAGATGGCGAATTAATTAGAACTGATCAGGAACGCCCCCATGTAAACAGACACTTGGGAGCTCATAAAGATTCCAGCACACAATTCATTTTGTTGCATGTGCCCGCCCCCCTGGGCTCTTTACTGCCGGAGCTCCGCTCCTGTGCACTCCTGCAGGAAATGACCCCTGGGCATACCCATACTACAGACTCAAGTGATGTAATCTTATATTCTAATAGTCAAGTATAGCCCAATCTGCAGATATCTAAATCCACAGATCAGGGTCACACTGACTGTAAACAGATAGTTTTGCAGACCTGGGGGACCCCTGGCCATGTTTGCATTAAAATCTGAAAATGAAGTAGTTTTTTTTGGGGGGGGGGTTAAACCCCTGGTGTCAGCAGAGTCCAGGGAGCTGCTCCAGGCTTGCCACAGTGGTGGTGTTCAGAGTGCCTCCTGAACGCCACCGCTGGGCCTGGAGCACTCGGCAACAAAGAGGGAGAATGATACCCACCCTGCAAAACTCGTGAGCATCTGCTGGTAGCTATAATTTCTCATCACAGGGGACTCTGGAGACAAGCAACCCCTTATGGAGAATTCTCAGCACTCTTACTAAAATATAGTGCCCAGGATTCTCTAGGGCAAGCCATGGCAGATAAACTATTATAAAATTGATACAGATTTGTAATATGGATATATACATATATATATACATATATATATACATATATATATATATACATACATATATACATACATATATATATATATGGTCAAAAAATTGCCAAATGGTTTCTCCAAATGGTTTGGGGGGGAGGCAGACCAGTACAGATAGGCTTGATAACAGAAAGCAGAGCCTAGAAACAGGCCCAAAGAACTGAGAATTATTTGAATTAGATGAGATATGGAATGTCATTCCACTTCTGGTAAGCATAGGCTTGCCAAGTCCCCCCGGGGGGCGGGGAAACCCCCGCCCCAGAGGCCCGTTCCCCGCCGCCGGCAGATCGGTCCCCGGGGGGAACTCCACAGCCACGTGCACGTCACCCGGAAGTGACGCGGGTACGGCGGGCACGCTGGGGGCGGGGCCACTGTCATCCGAGGGAAAACTCTATGGTTTTCCCTCGGATGGTCGTGGTCCCGCCCCCAGCATGCGGCGTACCCACGTCACTTCCAGGTGACGTAGATGCGGCACTCCAGACGACGGCTGGGAGTCCCCCGCTCCGGTAGGTTTCTGACTTGGCAAACCCTAGGTAAGCAGATTCTGAACTTAAAAAAAAAAAAATTCAAAAATCCACAGAACTGGCTTGACCAAGTGCGACGATGGAACGAGAGAGAAGGCTGCACGGCACGGGAAGCCAGGCCTCTGCTGTATCACTTTCAGTTCCCTTTCAGTATATTATGGCCTGTCTTAAACCGGAGTGAGCAAAAACGAGGACCTTCTGGCTCCGCCAGGCTCTTCCCAACTGATGGTGAAACTTTTTGATATAGAACAAAGCACTGGATATCAGGCCAGCCAGGTTTCATTTACCTCTTGTAATGCAATCACGCCTTTCAGCTTCCCCGTGCTGGTTACGTAGGCATGGGTGAGGCCCAGCAAAGAAAACAAGGTATGTGTCTGTGAGGGAGAGAGGTGGGAGACAGGAAGAGGGGGGGGAGGGGGGAAATGGATTACTTCAAACTCATAACAAAGCCATAGGCCCATGGTGAATGTTGTACACAAACCGTAATAGGACTGCCAACGTCCAGTGGGGAGTGCAGAGCCCAGAATTACAACTAATCTCCAGACTACATGGATCATATCCCCTGGAGGAAATGGCGGCTTTGGAGACTGGATTCTGTGGTATCGTGTCCCCGCTGAGCGCCTTCCACCCCCTAAACTCCACCCTCCCCAGATACTGGCCCCAAATCTACAAGAATCTCCCAACCAAAGTTGGCTGCTCTAAGAAGCAACTCCAAGAACAGCAGAGACACGAAATCTCCGATGGGACCAAACATTTAGAAACAGAGATGCCACCTATCCAACAAGTTAAATGTTTTGTTGGTACAGAGAACAAGCTGAAGTGAGACAATAACACACAATACCGTGTCATCAATTATGCAATTGTAGAAAGCAAATATGAGGTTATGGCTTGAATCCTACTACACTGCTCAATAATGTAGGCAAGGCCAGTTGTGGGACACAAGAGTCACCAACCCCTATTGAATTTGCTGCGCTCCCCCTTTTAATTTCAAATTTCAGCAATACTTCTTCAGCCGCACCACTGCCACGCCAGCCCAAAGCACCTGCGACCATAGGCATAATCTTCGTGGGGGCGGCAGGGCTTCAGCCCCCGCCGAAATTTTCAGGAAGGTGCTCAGCCTCCCCCGGGAGCCACCCTTGCTCCTAGCAAAGCAATGCCTCTGGCCCAGCCCCAGCCCCCCCCCCCCGGAAATTGGAAAGTCTACACCCTTGCCTGCGACTGATTGATTCCTCCCTCCCTCCTCAGATTAGCTGGTGCAGCCTGTAGCCACACGGCCTCAGCAGAGCAAGATCTTTCTGGCTTCAATTCCCTCTGTTCTGCCCCACACAGCTCTTACAGCATGCCTCTCTTGCAGCCCCCCAGGCACGCCAGCCAAGAAGCAGACTCGGCACACGCCTCTCCAGTGCGCCTCTGTGGAAACTCGGGAGGAGCAGGCGTGCTTGCCGCACTCCCTGCCGCCTTGCTCTCACCTGCTGGGGGGACCAAGGGGGAGCCATGCTTCTGGGAAAAGGCGGCAGCAACATGCCAGCTCTCCTGGCATGGCTGCTGGGGACAGTCTGGACCGGTTCCTCCCCAAAGGGCTGAACCAAAGCAGCGGATAGCACTGGCTCCTCTCCTTCTTTCTCCCTCCTCTCTTCTAATTCAACTAAATTTAATTAATTTAATTAGAGCGCCCCCCCCCCCCAAAAAAACCATCCTGGCTACAGGACTGAATGTGTGCCAGCAGCGGGAGATGTCCTCTAGGGCATACACATATCGACCAGAGATACATCAGTGGTTATTAGCCACAAGATATAGATGGGACACCATGTCTGGGGCAGGGATGCTCTGTATTCTTGGTGCTTGGAGGGCAACAGTGGGAGGGCTTCTGGAGTTTTGGCCCCGCTAGGGGACCTCCTGGTGGCACCTGGTATTTTTGGCCACTGTGTGACACAGAGTGTTGGACTGAATGGGCCACTGGCCTGATCCAACATTGGCATCTCTTATGTTCCTAAACCTCTCTAATTCTGGCAGCTGCTTGCACCAAAAGAAGGCTCCAGACTTGGAGCGGAGAGGAGGAGAAATGTCTTTTACTGAAACAAATATAACCCAAGTGTGCACAGCTTCTGAGTTCACCAAGTAGCCATATTAAAAAAAACAACCTGCTGTTCAGTTAATCCGGCTCACTTTCTCAGTGGATGAAAATCTGATTAAACTCAGCTACAGTTTGCAGCCTGAGTCAGAGGATGCAAGGAATCTGATTTTTACTGCTGTATCATGTTCGCAAAAAGCACTCCCATGCTGACCGGCACCATTTCCAGTTCTAGCTGGGACTGCAACACAATGAAGATCAATGAGTCAGAACAATAATTCCTGCATTCAGCCTTCCCGGGCCTGGTCTCCGTAAAGGCAGATGCGACCAAGCTACCGCTTCCTGCAGTCAATGCTGTGTATAAAGAGGAACAGAAGCTTTGTTAAAGAGGTGACCCTTAGCACTGAGAGCTCTTGTGGTCCCAGTTTTAATTGAGAGCATCTCCCTTACAAGGCGCTGAATTAGGGAGACAGGGCACCTCTTGCACATCCTAATCTGCAAAGGCAAGGTACCTGTTGCGACAGAGAAAACACATTTCCTCTTTAGTCAAAGAAAACTATTCTATTTCTTATTAACAAAGCTTGGCACTCACTGAAGCCTGGAGTGCGGCCACCTGTGTATTTGGAGATCCCAGCCCTTGTGCCTCTTCTGCCAAGTAATGTTTTGAGGGGGCAATTTGCAAGGCAGAAAGAGCAGGTGTGAAGAAGAGTGCTTGATTCTTCGCCTAGTGGCTACTTTTCATCCAGCTGGGACTTCAGAGGCAAGGAGGTGGGGGCAGGAAGCTTGGCTGGAGGGAAGGAAATGGAGAAAGGTCCTCTCGGAAGGGATTACGGTCTACCAGCAGTGTTCCCTCTAAGCTGAGTTAGTGTGAGCTAGCTCACAGTTTTTTAGCCTCCGGCTCACATTTTTGCCTTGGCTCAGGAAGGAGGGCTCCAGAGCCAACTAATTTCTGCTGTAGCCAAATCACTCGCCCACAGCTTTAATGCCAGTAGCTCACAAAGTAGAAGTTTTGCTCACAAGACTCCACAGCTTAGAGGGAACATTGTCTACCAGTCATGCGAAACTGAGGCTATTGTACTTTGGTCACACCATGAGAAGACAGGACTCATTGGAAAAGACAATAATTCTGGGGAAAGTGGAAGGCAGCAGGAAAAGAGGAAGACCCAACGTGAGATGGATGGACTCCATCAAGGAAGCCACGCCCCTCAGTGTGCAAGACCTGAGCGGGGCTGTTCATGATTAGGACACTTTGCAGGACATTATTTCCTAGGGTCACCATAAGTCAGAAGTGACTTGAGAGTACACGCTTGGCTATCAAACACAGCGAGGGAGAAGTCGGGTTGAGGATGTGTTCATTCTGTGCCATGAGTCACAGACTGCAGATCTGGCTTAGGTGCAGGAGGAGGCTATGTGCTCCAAAGGAACAGGAGAGACAAGAAAACCGTGGGAAGCAGGAGAGCTGAAGTGGCCAGGGGATGGGGGTAAGGCAGAGACAGTGGCCAGAAATCAGAGGTCCTAGGAAAGCAAGAGGTGAACATTAAATATTTAGCTATAGGTCTCGTGCGGGTGCAAAAAGAAGAAAGGCAAGTCTCTTGAATCCAGTGAATTCAGCGTTGGTAAGATGCAAGGACCCAAGAGTGAGAGCAGGAAGGAGACTCATTTAGGGAGCCAGGGTGGGCGGGCAAAGCAGTGCAGAGATTGACAGAAAGGGGCACGGCAGACACCCACCTTGTGCAGGGATGTCCTCTCCACCAGCTGAAAGGGAGAAGGGTCTATGCGGCAGCTGTCGAAGCACACCTCTTTCTCCAGCTCCTCCTCCTCCCAAGCTTCTATCTGACACAGGAAAGAAGGGTTCACGCACACACACACACACACACACTTTGCACTCCTATGTGGTCCCATGGCCCATGGAAGCTCTGTCCTCAGGGTGCCACTCCTGGACCCTAAGAAGGATTCAGCTCCCCTCAACTCTGACCATTTTCCCCTCGCTGTTTCCTTATGTTTGAGACTCACTTTCAGAACTCGGAATGCCTCCTCAGAAACCATTTTTCCCCATGAAGACTTTGGCGTAACTCATTCTCCCTCAGCCACCTGGGGCCCAATAGAAGGAGAATGGGGAATCCATTTGTCTACCCACTTACATGGAAAGGAGGCAGAGAAAAGCAATTTCCCCCCCCAAGCACAGCTTGGGTGGTAAACCCTGACTTCCTCCTGACCTCACATCCTTCCATTCGTTGAAGCATTTCCCCGCCTCCTAGCCTAGCTCCAACAGTGAAATGGGAAGACTTTGGCGTAACTCATTCTCCCTCTGCCACATGGGGCCAAATAGGAGGAGAATGGGGAACCCATTTGTCTACTGGCTTACGTGGAAAGGAGGCAGAGAAAAACAATTCCCCCACCTCCCAAGCACAGCTGACTTCCTCCTGACCTCACATCCTTCCATTAATTGAAGCATTTCGCCACCTCCTAGCCTAGCTCCAACAGTGAAATGGAAGAAAAAAATACTTCAAGTAACGAAGGACAGCAACATAAAGGGGGAGAGGCAGTGGTGTAGCTGCCTGCAACCTAGAGTTGCCAACCTCCAGGTGGGGCCTGGAATTCTCCCAGAATTACCTCTTATCTCCAGACTACAGAGATCAGTTACCAGAAATGGCTACTAGATCAGTTCCCAGAAATGGCTACTTTGGAGGATGGACTCTATGGCATTATGCCTGGTGTTGACGACTCTACCTCACCCACATGCTCCGTTTTGGATAAACAGAAAAGACGACCCCCCTGCTTTCCCCCAGGTCTGGCTATGAGACATCCTCTAAACCAGAGGTTCCCAAACTTATTTGGCCTACCGCCCCCTTTTCAGAAAAAAAAATTACTCAGTGCTCCCCTGCAAATCTACCTTCAAGAAGTGGACAAAAAGATGCAGTGACAAATTTGCACATGGTAAAGAAAGATGTTGTGAGTAAAGAAAGATGTTGTTGGTCTGAGACCAGAGGCCAGCAGCAGCCACCACATAATAACCCAGCAGCAACACCAGTCTTATAAGGGTGCACATGCATTTGCAATTTGCAAATACATGGCTGTGATTGGCTGTGGGGACCCCTCTCCACCTCCACCTCCTTCCCTCATCCCAGGGAAGGCAGGAAAAGGCTGCTTTAGATAGGCTCTGGACTCTTCTTTATGCTTCCACTGCCCCCTTATTTTTATTCAACGCCCCCCAATTGCACACAAGGCTCCTACCGCCCACCTGGATCTTTCCAGTGCCCCCCAGGGGGCGGTACTGCCCACTTTGGGAACCAGTGCTCTAAACTCTTAAGGAAACTAACGCTGAGTTGTGTCAGTTATAAAATGTATTCTAACTCTTTTAATGGAGTGGTGGCTTTTCCACCTTAGGCACAGACACACCGCGGGCTGTCCCTGCTTGTAGGATCAGAAAGCAAAAGGGTCCAATTGCTAGCTGACAAGAAAGAGGGCCGTGATTATTTTTCGACCATAAACAAGACCAAATTTGTGGGGATTTCCTGTTGGCTCTCCCACATCAGCTTTTCCAGACTTACCTCCTCTGGCTTCATGGTATCTACAATGTCCGTTGAATCCTGAGGGGAATTGAAAACCAAAGCCAAGATCAGAAAAAAGATGAGAAGACTTCCCCCAGCCCAAGGAGACTTCCCCTGTCAGATGTGATTCTTCCTATTTGGCTAGAGGAAAGCTTCAACCGTGGTTGAGTTGTTAGCAGGTGGGATTAAAATGTGTTTTTATCTGTATTGTGCTGATGCTTATATGTATGCAATGTATCTGCATTTGTGTGTATGGGTTTTTCATCCAGCCAGGTGCAAGTGGAGAAGTCCGCGCACTTCCCCCAGCCCAAGGAGACTTCCCCTGACAGATGTGATTCTTCCTATTTGGCTAGAGGAAGGCTTCAACCGCGGTTGAGTGGAGTCACGGGACAGAAGCCACTGACTTCCCCCAATCAGAGATCTGTATTCGGCTACCAAAGTAGGAATCCCCCAAATAAAAGCAGGTATTATTCTGTTTTTATTCGGGCTTGGCTACTTGCAGAGTCCTGCGGCCCTTGCTGTAGGACTTTCCAGCGAAGGGAAGGTATCCCTTTCCTATTTAAAGTTTATTTAAAGGTATGTATTTACAGGTATTTAGAGTTTAAATCCCTTTCCTCTCAGTCCCCTTAGGGCAGTGGTGGCGAACCTATGGCACGGGTGCCAGAGGTGGCACTCAGAGCCCTCTCTGTGGGCATGCATGCCATCGCCCCAGCCAGGCCCAGACCATCATTAAAGTGTCGAATTCTCTGCCAAATAATTTTAAGTAAATGAAAGCATTTGGGATTGCGTTCCTTACTTTGTTTGGATCATCTTAAGTTAATGTATGAGTTGTTTTTTCCTAAAGTAAAACCTCAGTATTCAGGTTAAATTGCCGTGTTGGCACTTTGCGATAAATAAGTGCATTTTGGGTCGCAGTTTGGGCTCTCGGTCTCTAAAAGGTTTGCCATCACTGCCATGGGGTATAATGGAGCCAAATATATTCGGGTTTCCAAATACTGATCCAAATACCAGTGAAATACCAATACTGGTATTCGAGTGTATTCAGAAGTACGAATATTTTTTGGTTCCAACCGATCCAGATCCGAATAAACCCAGATTTCTTTTGTACACCCTAGTCAGCTGTGACGTGACAGCACTTTCCAGTGGTGTATGTGGAAAGTACTACCTGTCTGTATGGTACCTAGCCCTGGTCTGAAATCCCCGTCCCCACGATTCACCGACCCAAGTTGTTTTTCATAGATCTCCCAGAGATTTTTCTAGCCTGGTCCTTCGCTTCTCCACTGTAATAATCAGGCTTCTTTTCAAACAGCTGGGCACAGGAGGGCCTTTCAGATTCCTCACCTGCTCAGTCAGCTCCGGTTGAGGCGGAGGGTGGTAAAAACACAGGAGCTGCCTCGTCAGTCGCCAGAATCTCCTGCCTGTGGGAAGGAAGAGAAGGAGAGGAAATGTGTGGGAGACCAGATTGTCAGGCAGCCGTTTTCCTCCGCCCCCTTCCAAAACCCAGGCCAGATAAACAAATTCTGCAGCTGTAGGATGCTAACCAGAGGGAGTTCTTTGATTTCTTTTTATTATTATCACTGTTATTCATTTATTTGAATGATCAGTTACATTACTCAGTACTAGGTTAACAACGGCTATCTACAAATTATTACATCACTGGACTGTCTGAAGTATTCTCTTATATTGTAAATATAAGATTTCGTTTCTCCTTATATTTATCAGCTATAATATTGAGTTATCACAAGACAGGAAACGATCTCTCATGAAAGGGCTTTGATTTCCAAGGAAGCAAAACAGCTAGTCAGGCGGCAGCAGCTCAACTGGGAGAAGGTCCCTGTTGGTAGAACGAGGCCACTTTGTAAGTACCAAGGGAAAGAATCAACAGGACGTATCAAAGAAGCCACAGAATACTGAGCAGCGTGAATACATGGGATGGAAGGAGCTAGAATTGTCAGCCTAGGGAATGGCCTGTCTGACAACCAGTAGGATGACGGACCTGTCCTCCATGAATTATTCTATTTTTCCTTTACAAATCAACCTCTGCTGGCAGCTGTTATCATCTCCTGTGGAAGAGAACTCCATAAGTGTTAAGTCGCTCGCTTAACAAAGCAGTCGGAGAGTGATTCAGCAAGAACACAGCTTTATTCTTCCACTCCAACACAACTCCAACACGGATCAACATCTGATAGCCAGAACAGCCTTTACATTGCAGCTGCCCTGCTTTTAAACATTCCCGGCTAATGTAGCCACACCCACTGTACAAATACCAACCAATAAGGTTGTTCACATAAGGACCAATCACGGATGTTCCCGCCCAGGGAGCTTGCTTGAAAGTAATTGGTTAGGTGCTTCCTGGGCTAGTAACACGATTGGATGGATTTGGATCCTAGCCCAGGACGAAGCTTAACATTACACTTCAATGAGATGTTTCACAACATATCATGCATTCAAGGCAGCTTTGAATACACTACAATAAGTTAAACACAAAGCTTTATAAAGGGGGGTGCGGAGACTGTACAAGTCCATGCAAGAGGTCTATTAACTAACAGAAGTTCTACACAGAAGGAATTAGAGGTGTCTGGCTAGCTACAGCTGGGACTAAAATACTAGTAGACTAGATGGGCTTTTGTCTGATTGGGCAATTCTTAATACTTGTCTGTTGTCTGGAATTTCAGTACCAGGGCAGGGGGGCAGAGATTCACTCTAATGCAATTTCATTTTGCAACCCACTGATCAACCGACATCCCCAAGGCCCTTTCGCATCAACTGCTACTGAGCGTGCACTCAACAGGCAGCGTCAGTGAATCTGAGCTCCTTGACAAGCATACCTATAAGATGCACACGTATGCTACACCCATCACACATATTTAGGTGTACACTTCAAAAGGTCTTAAGATTTGCACCTAAAACAACGTGTGAAGTGGCCATCTGTGACTATAACTGTCAGTGTTAATTTTGCAGTGCTTTCATTCTAGCATTTATGGTCACGTGTGCGCTTAGGTCTTGAATATTTGACCTTGGAGGAAGGACAATCATTTACCACCTATTTTAGCCAACTCTCAGAAGATGATGATGACCTGAAGACCAGTTGGCATAAAACTGGCTTGGTGAAAAGATGGACTGAGTAATATTGAGAATAGTTTTATATAGAGACATCTACCAGGGCTGATATTTGTATGCATGGTAGACCTTCTTTGGAGCCACTTAATCTGCCCAAAATTGAGTTGCAAGTACTCAATAGTAGTAGAAATGCACTCTGTATCTGTAAAAGGCACCATCTGCTCTGTCATCCATCATCTGTTCCTGTTTTCCTCCAAACAACCACTCTCAAGGTGAGTCACGAAGGATTCATGATCCTCGCCCGCTCTCTGGCAACATGATGCCTGGTCTCTCCTCCCTTTCTATTTTTTATTTATTTTACAAAATTTATACCCCACCTTCCTGCCCTCACAAGGGCCACCAGTGTGGCTAACAAAATACACCTAATGAAATCACGTGTTTTAAACCAACCAAAATCATAAAAACAATTAAAATCAAGCTAAAATACACATACAAAAACAGCATTAAACACAAAGCTTTATAAAGGGGGGTGTACAAGTTCATGCAAGAGGTCTATTAACTAACAGAAGTTCTACACAGAAGGAATTGGAGGTGTCTGGCTAGCTACAGCTGGGACTAAAATACTAGTAGACTAGATGGGCTTTTGTCTGATTGGGCAATTCTTAATACTTGTCTGCTGTCTGGAATTTCAGTACCAGGGCAGGGGAGCCGAGATTCACTCTAATGCGATTTCATTTTGCAACCCACTGATCATCCGGCATCCCCAAGGCCCTTTCGCATCAACTGCTACTGAGCGTGCACTCAACAGGCAGCGTCAGTGAATCTGAGCTCCTTGACAAGCATACCTATAAGATGCACACGTATGCTACACCCATCACGCATATTTAGGTGTACACTTCAAAAGGTCTTAAGATTTGCACCTAAAACAACATGTGAAGTGGCCATCTGTGACTATAACTGTCAGTGTTAATTTTGCAGTGCTTTCATTCTAGCATTTATGGTCACGTGTGTGCTTAGGTCTTGAATATTTGACTTTGGAGGAAGGACAATCATTTTAGCCAACTCTTGGAAGGTGATGATGACCTGAAGGCCAGTTGGCATAAAACTGGCTTGGTGAGAAGATGGACTGAGTAATATTGAGAATAGTTTTATATAGAGACATCTACCAGGGCTGATATTTGTATGCATGGTAGACCTTCTTTGGAGCCACTTAATCTGCCCAAAATTGAGTTGCAAGTACTCAATAGTAGTAGAAATGCACTCTGTATCTGTAAAAGGCACCATCTGCTCTGTCATCCATCATCTGTTCCTGTTTTCCTCCAAACAACCACTCTCAAGGTGAGTCACGAAGGATTCATGATCCTCGCCCGCTCTCTGGCAACATGATGCCTGGTCTCTCCTCCCTTTCTATTTTTTATTTATTTTACAAAATTTATACCCCACCTTCCTGCCCTCACAAGGGCCACCAGTGGGGCTAACAAAATACACCTAATGAAATCACGTGTTTTAAACCAACCAAAATCATAAAAACAATTAAAATCAAGCTAAAATACACATACAAAAACAGCAATTAAAACATAGGGCAGGGAGGAGGGAATCGCTGAGGGAACGCCAAACAAAACAAAAAAGCTTTCGCCGGCTGGTGAAAAATGGCAACAGAAGGGGGCAGGCGAATCTCCCAAGAGGGAGGGTTCCAGAGTTTTCTATGTCCCACCCTACCCCTTAGTAGCAAGGATCAGACTTCTACGTCCTGGCTGGAACGCTCCAACCCCAACCGTCCGTACCTGGAGTTTCTTGAGGAGTTGGTGTCTCTGGCAAAGGCTTGTGAGGAGTCACAGGGCCATTGGGCTCTTCTGGGTGACTGGGGGCTAATGGGGGCAGCTGAGGCAGCTATCGAGAGAAAGCAGAACAGAACGAGATTTGGCATTCCCTAGAGGACCAGCATTTAGCATTTCCCTAGCACTTCCCTCTAAAACAGGGCATGTTGTTGCTGCTTTTTCTCTTTCTTCCTTTTATCTTGCCCTTCACGGCTGTTTGTAATTATTCTATTGCTGCTTTTCTTGATTTTATGCTGCTCGTTTGTCATATGATCTTTTCATTTTGTTGTTTTAATGAAAGGGGGGGGATTCTTGGGAACATATCTATCCACTGCAGAACGTCTAGGCGGAGCTTCTGTATCCCTTCTTGTTGCAAATACTCGAAGCTTTACCGCAAGGGCCAAAGGCCTTGGTTCCAGGTTCTCAACCCATGACTCACAGACTGTGGCCCTGAGTAAAGTAACCCTGTGGGTTTAAGATCAGGACAGGAAGACATTGGTGTACTTCTCATTTGTTCTGTTTATTTTATTTCCTTTATTTGCAGCCCACCTTTGTTGCTTGTCTGCTTCTATTTATTTACACTATTGTGGTATTTCTGTAAGCCACTTTGGATCCCCATTGAAGAGAAAAGCAGGCTATGTATGTATGCAAGAGCAGTCAAGTTGCAGCTGACTAGGGTTGCAGCCCCCTGGTTGAGGTGGGGGTCCCCCCCGATTGTGGGGGATCCAATCCGCCACCAGCCAGCAGGCCGGCGGGGGAAGCCCTACCCCCAAACAGCCCCCTCCCACGTCGCTGGCATGATTGCTGACATTGGGAGGGTGATGCTCTAGTTCTTGGGAAAACTCTATGGTTTTGAGGGCAAAAAAACATAGAGTTTGTAGACGACCCTGACAAGGACCCAAGAGCCCCCAACTGGATTGAAGGTAGGTTCTGGCAACCCTACAGCTGATTTATGGCAACTCCAGCAAGGTGCTTTCAAGGCAAATGAGAAGCAGAGGAGGGGTGACCATTGCCTTCCTCTGCAGTAGGGTTGCCAGGCTCCAGGTGGAGCCTGGGGATCTCCCGCTTTTACAACCGATCTCCAGTTGACAGAGATCAGCTCCCCTGGAGAAAATGGCCGCTTTGGAGGGTGGACTCTCTGGCACTGTACCATGCTGAGGCCCCTCCCCTCCCCAAACCCCGCCCTCTCCCGGATCCACCCCCAAAGTCTCCAGGTATTTTCCAACCCAGACCTGGCAACCCTACTCTGCACACCCTTCCTTGGCAGTCTCCCATCCCAGTTCTGGTCCTGCTTAGCTCCTGAGACCTAATGAGATTGGGCTATACCATGCTGACTTCCCTCCCAAAAAGCAGAATACACACAGACACAGACACACACACCCCTCACTGGTAACCTTTAAACAGGCCATGTTGAGTAGGCCAGATGGGGGACTTAGACAAAGGGCAGCTTGTCTCCGTCAAATCAGTGGCTGAGGTAACATTAGAAGCAAAAACTGCAAGGCCCACACCTTCTCCTCTTAACCACTATGCTACGTTCAGTTTCCTTTCCCTTCCTTCTTCCCTTCACTGCGTCTTTTTAACTTTTTCTTTCACCCTTCCCTGCAGCTCGGTCTCGGGTTGTCTCCCTCCCCTTCCTCACTTCAGTCTTCTCCTCTTCATCCTCATCCTCATCCACAAAAGCGAAGGATTCGTGCTTCCATGCAGATTTCTCATCGTATGGTGCCTCATCAGGCTTCTGAAGCGCCTCCTTGGTGAGGCGCAGACGTCGCTCTGGACTGAGGTGCCTGAGGAGAAGGCCCTGGAGCTCTGGCCGCTCCACTGAGCCCAGGAGAATCATGGATTCTACAGGAAGGGAGGGGAAAATAAAGCATTAGGTCTGTTGGACTTGTTACTTGATAGCTCCATACCTCAGGGATCTTCACTTATCTTCATGAGCTATGTGTCAGGCCTGGGTCCAAGTATGATATTGTAGGGTTGGTAGTTCCACCTTGGGAAATTCCTGGAGATTTTTTTTTTTGGGGGGTGGTAGTGCCTGAGGAGGGTGGACTCCAGAGAGTGGAAGGAGCTGAGTGGGGATGTGATGTCACTCTAGGACTTCTCCAAGACTCTACGGTATAGCATAGAGTTCACCTTTTGAAGCTGCCATTTCCTCCAAGGAACTGTTACCGAAATTTGGTTGTAATTCTGGGGAGACCCCAGGCCCCACCTGGAAGTTGGCAACCTTCAGAGGGCCTACAAGTCCACTTCACAGGGTGGAGGTCAGCTGCTACTGGCCTTCAAACCCATTTGGACCAGCAGTGATGGTCAGTCTGGAACCATCCAGGGGCCTGACTGACAATGACCAAGAACCAGGCTGCAGTCCCAACGGCAGAGAATGTGTCTCCAGAAGATCACCCACGGGCACTCAAGGAGCTGTCTAGAACATTATCGGCAAAAGACCAGCTCTGCAGTGGCTCAGGTGGAGAAATACCTGCTTAGCATTTTGTAGAATATCTCATAATACAAGGAGAGCCCTGCTGGATCAGACCAAGGGACTGTCTCACCCACCACCTTGTTTCTTACAGCTGGCCAGCCAGATGCTTCTGAAAGACATACAAGCAAGGCACAGAGCCCAAAGCCCTCCTTCTGGTAGTTTCCTTCCCCAGCTCATTCGTCTCCGAATACGAACATTCTGTTCAGCCATCACAGCGAATGGTCATTAATGAACCTAGCCTTCAAGAATTTCTGTAACCCCAACTAGTGGCCAGTGAGTTCCACAAGTTATTTATCTAGCATGGTTTTTTTTTTTTTAAAGGGTTGCCAGCTCTGTCTTGAGAAATTTTCGGAGATTTGGGGAATGTGCATTTGGAGGGTAGAGTTCGGGAACGGCAGGGAGTTCAGCCAGGAGGTAATGTCGCTTGTAGTACTTCTGTTTCTCCTAGGGTAGGTTAAGTTGAACAAAAAGGGAACAACTGCAACAAAACTCAAAACCAGATTGGCCATCAATTAATTTTGTATTTTACAAAATATATATATATTTTTTTAGGTTTCAACAGCATAATACAAAGGAACTCTGGCTCTTTACTTAGTATACATTCCTTGCGTTTTTGTGATGTCCCACTGTTGTATATTGTTTTATATTTCATGCCAATGAAGAAGACTTTGTCAAAACGTGTTTGGTCTTTTCTCTTTGATGTGTATGAGAGAGTCACTACTGTGGTTATATATAAAGGAAGTATTTTGTGCTCATTTTTGATATTATACATCTTTGTTATTCTTGGTTTTGACAAAGACTTTTTTGGTTAATACATTTAAAACACTGGAACAAGTTCTACTACATTCTGTATTTCAGTTCAATAACTTTTTAATTTCACTCATTTAGATATTGTTTTTCTGCAATTTCTTATTTTGCTGGTATACTATAGAGTAGAGTAGACCATCTGAATGCCGTTTCCCTGATCTTTGTACTGAGGAGATCAGACACGATCCCTGGAGAATTCCAAGTACCGTCTGGACCAGAGGTCATTTCGGAGGGGATTGCGGGGGATCGCAGTTCCCCCGGGTGAGGTACGGGGGCGGGGCACATGACGAAGCCCCGCCCCCTGCTTCCGGCCGCCCCGATTCTGGCCCTCATTCAGCCAGGAGGAGGCAGGAGAAGAGGGAGGGTAAGATGCTTCCTCCCTGCCTCTCCCCACCCCTGCCTGCCTGGGGCCAGGGAGGGCCTTTGCGGGGCTTCCATTCACTCCCGCCGGCCTTGCAGGTCCACCGCCGGGCCCCTCATGGGCATTAGTAAACCTATTTTGACCTACCGATCTTTCAGTTTGCTCAGGGCAGCATATATGACTGTCTCCTTTTATGCTGACAATACCCTGTGAAGCACGTTGAGCTGAGAGCGCATGCTGGCAGAGGGGGATAAATGAAGTTTGTGCATTCGATGAAGAAGTACTTTCTTTGACCTGCACTGAATTTACTGCCCATCAGCTTCATTGGGTGCAACTAGTATTTTTTGGAGGGAGGGGGGCAATGTTCCCTCTAAGCTGTGGGGTCTCGTGAGCAAAAATTCTACTTTGTTGAGCTACCAGCAGTAAAGTTGTGAGCAAGCGATTTGGCTACTGTGTAAATTAGTTTGCTCTGGAGCCATCCTTCCTGAGCGAAGGCGAAAATCTGGGCTGGAGGCTAAAAAACTGAGCTAGCTCACCCTAACTCAGCTTAGAGGGAACACTGGAGGGGCGAGTCCTTTCTGTCTACCTCATGAATAATTTCATAAACAAGACTCACTGGGAAAGACAATAATGCTAGGAAAAGTTGGAGCCAGTAGGCAAAGAGGAAGACCCAACATGAGATGGATTGACTGAAAAGAAGAAGCCACGGCCTTCAGTTTGCAAGACCCAAGCAAAGAAGAAGAAGAAGAGATTGGATTTATACCCTGCCTTCACTACAAAGGTGTCTCAGAGCGGCTTACAAACTCCTTTCCCTTCCCCACCCCACAACAGACACCCTGTGAGGTAAAAGAAGAAGAAGAAGAGATTGGATTTATACCCCGCCCTTCACTACCCAAAGGTGTCTCAGAGCGGCTTACAAACTCCTTTCCCTTCCCCTCCCCACAACAGACACCCTGTGAGGTAGGTGGGGCTGAGAGAGCGCTTGACAGAAACTGCTCTTTTTCAAGGACAGCTCTTATCAGAACTACGGCTTGCCCAAGGTCATCCAGCCAGGTGCAAGTGGAGGAGTGGGGAATCAAACCCGGTTCTCCCAGATTAGAGTCCGCGCACTTAACCACTACACCAGACTGGCTCTCAATGCCAATGCTGTCAATGATAGGACGTTTTGGAGGTCATTAATTCATAGGGTCGCCATAAGTCGGAAGTGACTTGACGGCACATAACACACTCCGCAGTGTCTTGCCTCAGCAGTCTTACCTCTAAAGCGAGAAACAAATTCTTCTAACCCATCCTCATAGGGAAGGCTCTTTAAGAAGGCTCGGCCTTCCCCACAAGTGCTTTTCAAGCCGTGTTTGGAGCCGTTTATCAGGGGTTTGTTAAGGAGCAGACCAGGCCTGGTGGGCAAGCTTCCCCGAACAACAGCATGCCTCCCCCCCCCTCACAAGTCCTCCCTTGCCATGGGAAGGCTTGGGGGAGAATGCAGTATATCTTAGGGCACACCTTCCAATTCATGCGGGGAGCTGGGGGGGGGGGCTCAACAGGCCAGGTGAATGCCCTGCACCATCTCCTTCAAAAGGGAGCGAGGCCCCTTTTCTCTTAACCGGAGCGTCCTACTTCTTGGATTCAGTCCCCAACCCAGCACCCAGATCATGTCCCAGGACATCCAACCCTACCACTGCCCTTCCTGAAAGATATTGGCGTCTTTCTCCAGTGTTACAGTTTGGTGTAGTGGCTAGGAGTGCAGACTCTAATCTGGGAGAACCGGGTTTGATTCCCCGCTCCTCCACATGCAGCTGCTGGTATGACCTTGGGTCAGTCACAAGTTCTCTCAGAGCTGCTTTCTCAAGAGCAGTCCTCAAAAGAGCTCTCTCAGCCCCACCTTCCTGACAGGATGCCTGTTGTGGGGAGGGGGAGGGAAAGGAGATTTATATATAAGCGACTCCTCGACTCCTTCAGGTAGTGAAGGGCGGGGGTATAAATCCAATCTCCTCCTCCTCCTCCTCTTCTTCTTCCTCTTCTTCTTCTTCTCCTGGCTGTTCAGAAACAGCGTGAGGTTCCCGCAGAAAGAAGCAGCTGCTCAGACCAGTCTACGTGACAACAGCTCAGCTGAGGCTTCCTTCCCTCCCACACGAAGTGCCGTTCCCTAATGCCAAGTGGAAGATGACCAAGGCCCACACTGCCCCGGCCTTCTGTCGCTACTCCCCCTGCCTCCTGTCGAGTCCCCCGAGTGGCATCCTCGGCCCCCACCGTCAGTCTTACTCACAGAACTGCAAAAGATGTCGCAGCCGCCAAACCCGTTCCATGCCTTGCATGACTTATTCGGCAGGCATTCCGGCTCAGGTTTGCGGCAGACTTGGAGCCAAACTTTCATTTCCTTTGTGTGACCTTCTCCCCCCACCCCCTTGAATTCTGATGCCGTTGGATTTCATAACCAGATCAGGCCCTTCCCCCTTTTGGTCTGCTCATCAGTCCGCACCCCAGTTTGTGGGAATTCTGACGAAGAGTTAGTTGAACACGGCATTATATTTTTCCAAGCTGACCATTTTCCCACTGCATGGGAAATGAAATTGAGCAAAGCTTTCTTAGCTGCTAAAAACTCTTGGTCTATTTCATTTAAAAGACCCCCTGGATTTGCTTGCGTGAGAGCAGACCTGTGAGGCTAGGAACACAAATCCCAAGTCTTGGATGTGTGCCCCTTCATGAAAAATGATGGAGGATCAAAAAATCCAAAGCAAAACCGTGATAGAAGAAAGCCAAGTTTCCTGGCTGCAAAGAGCAAGGATTGAGGAGGAAGATTCACCCTTCCCCTTTTCTGCTTCAAGGATTCCATTTGAAGTTTGAATGAGCATCTAATCAGTCTTAGGAACTGATTCTCTGATGGCTAGAGGGACCAAACTGTTTGCAAGACATAAGAACATCAGAACATAAGAGAAGCCAATGTTGGATCAGGCCAAAGGCCCATCCAGTCCAACACTCTGTGACACACAGTGGCCAGAAATACCAGTGCCATCAGGAGGTCCACCAGTGGGGCCAGGACATTAGAAGCCCTCCCACTGTTGACCCCCCCAAGCACCAAGATTTCAGAGCATCACTTGCCCCAGAGCCCCTATCTATACCTTGTGGCTAATAGCCACTGATGGACCTCTGCTCCATATGCTTATCTAATCCCCTTTTGAAGCCGTCCATTCTTGTAGCCGCCACCACTTCCTGTGGCAGTGAATTCCAAGTGTTAATCACTCTTCGGGTGAAGTACTTCCTTTTATCCGTTCTAACCCGACCGCTCAGCAATTTCATGGAGTGCCCATGAGTAAAGACAGATCTTTACAGATCTGGTCATCCCTCCTCTCATGTGAAATCAGCAAGCAAATAATCCAAGAGTTTGGCTTAAGGGGTCCCAAAGCTGCTTCTTGGATTTGGCCTTTTTGCCCTTTTGCCCTAGTTTAGGCATGCAGGACATGCACATCTCCCCCAGATTAATGGAAGGCTAATAGGAAGGTCCAGTACTCAGTGAAAGACAGAGGTATTTTCTAATGTAAGCAAAACTGAAACGATCCTTTCGTAGTTTTGACATGGACCTAATATTAGTGTTTTGGGGTTTTTTAAAGCATTGCCATGTCACACAGTTGTGGTCAGACATTCATATTGGGATTAACTAAACTCTGCAGTACTTGATGGTGCTTTTTAGGACCACGCGCTGAATTTCAATGTACTATTTATTTTCGCCGCAAAATAAGGTGTTCCCGTTGATCATCAGTGATGGGCAGACCCAGTCCAGTCTGGAATGATGTTGGTGAAACATACTGGAGAACATCTGCTGTGCATTCTGGATTGATCCCATTCTCAATTCGGGCTCCACTCTGTTCACAATCGGGAACACAAAAGGGGCTGAGAGCCCCCCCCCCAGTGCCCCTATCCCTTCCTGAGACATACGGAGACCAGGGGAAATCAGAGCAAGGTGGGATTGCAAGAACTGTAAGACATCGATGTCAGGGGGTGCTAGGAAGCACAGGAATTACATTTCCCGTGCGCTCTAGTGTGCTAGTGCACATGCCTATGGCAACACCCTAGGGATGCCAGCCTCCAGGTGGGACCTGGGGATCCCCCAGAATTACAGCTCATCTCCAGACTACAGGAGACCAGTTCCTCTGGGGGGGGGGGAATGGATGCTTCGGAGGGTGGACTCTGTGGCACTGCACCCCACTGAGATTACTACCCTCAGCAGGCTCCACCCACAAATCAGGAAGAGTTTCCCAACCTGGATCTGGCAACCCTCCCTGCTCCACATCCCCTGCTGGTGGCCAAGGGGGGGGATCCAGACATAGGGTTGCCAGCCCTGGTGGGCAACCCAGCAGGAGGAATCAGGGGTCCGGGACAAAGGATTCCGCATCAGTGAGAGCCCTCCCTTGCCAGCAATGCTCCCTCTAAGGTGTGGAGTCTTGGGAGCAAAAATTATGCTTTGAGAGCTAGAACGTGAGCATTCAAGTTGTGAGCGAGCGATTGGGCGACTGCATAAATTCGTTTGCTCTGGAGCCATCCTTCCTCAGCGAAGACAAAAATGTGTGAGCTGGAGGCTAAAAAACCTGTGAGCTAGCTCACACTAACTCAGCTTAGAGGAAATATCGCTTGCCAGTGCCACCCTTTTTTCCTCTGCCATCACATCCTACCTCTTTGGGGCTCTCCAAGCCTCAGAACAGGGATGAAAGGGCAGGAGTCATTTCCTGAAGGAGCACACAGGAGCAGAGCTCCGGCAGTAAAGAGCCCAGGGGGCGGGCACATGCAACAAGCCCCACCCCCTGCTCCCAGCAGCCCTCAGTCAGAGCAAGAAGCAGCCACGTAAGTTGCAGAGCTCCTCCCGGCCCCCAGCCCAAAACAGTCCAGTGGCACCTTTAAGACCAAGTTTTATTCAGGCACAAACTCTCCCTCCTCTGCGAGGACAGATCTGCACGTTCCCCCCCCCCCATCGCTAGCAATCCAAAACAGTCCAGTGGAGCCTGAGCGGTGGGTGTTGCCTTCTGATACACTTCCAGTGATGTCAGCGGGTGTGGCATATGCAAATAAATTATGCTAATGAGTTATGCTAATGAGCTTTTGCACCTCTTTTTCTATGAAATTACCCTTGAAAGGGGATAGGAGCAAGGGTTGCAGCACCCAGTCCTGTCCTTTTCATCCCAAGAAGGTAGTTACAGCAAGCATCTCCTCTTCCTCCCTGGCCTGGAGCCTTGGCCTTGACGGTCCCTTGCCGGGCCATTCTTGGTGGTAGCAAGGGCTGCTGCACTGGCAGCTGGCCTCCATTGAGGCTTCTCTTCCTCCTGCTGCCCTGAGCCGGCTGTGTCTTCTTTCTGAGCTGGGATCTTTGCTGGGTGAGTGGGGAATAGGGAGGGCTTGTGGCAGTGGCATCCGGCTGAGTTGTAAGGCTGCTATGCTTGGTCTGGAAGTCGTGGGGAGGTAGGGAGAGGCCAGGTCAGGTGCTTCCAGCCCCAGACAGCATCACACCAATGTGCAATGTCACTTCCAGCACAAAACAGGAAGTGATGTCATCTCGTCAGGCGAAGTTCTAAGATTCACCCCAAACTCTATGGTTAAACTCTATGGTTGGGGCAAATCCTAGAGTGTCACCGTGACACTTTCAGCTTTCCAAGAGATCTCCCACTATAGCAAGAGACCTGGCCTCCCAACCCAGGTATGAAGCTTGAGACCTTACAGTTATTTTTGTGAGCCCACCCCATTTTCGTGAGGAAGGAGACCTCCCTCCCCAGGCTCATGACACAGATAGTTGACCAAAACAGATCCTTCCGGGATTAGCCTGGACTCCAACAGGGACTGGGTCCAATCCATTCAGTGTCTGCCCCCTTTGACTTTGGACTCCACTCCTGAACTGCAGGCTGTGGAAGGTCGGTAGTTCAGCAGTTCGAGACCCGAGTTGCCGCATGACGGAGTGAGCTCCCGTCTCTAGTTCCAGCTCCTGCCAATCTAGCAGTTCGAAAGCAAGAAATTGCAAGTAGATAAATAGGTACCGCTTCGGTGGGAAGGGAACAGCATTCCGTGGGCCTTGGTGTTTAGTCATGCCGGCCACATGACCACGGAAACGTCTTCGGACAGCGCTGGCTCATCGGCTTTGAAACGGAGATGAGCACCGCAACCCTAGAGTCGGACTCGACTGGCTTTCGAGCAAGGGAACCTTTACCTTTACCTTTACCATCACTTTTAGCTATGCACATTCGTTTTCTATGCCAAAGCGACAGACTTCATGTCAGCAAAAAGTGGTCTGCGCAGAATGACCACAGTGCTACGCAGCTGGAGAAGTGCAGTGTTTTGCCACTGAATGAGTGGGGGAGGAGGAAAAGGAGCAGCGGGGAGGACAAAGTGAAGCCAGGAGACCTCCCCATGGAACATCTCTTTACAAGGCAACATTCCCCGCACATTGAAGAGGTGCGGGGTTGCAACCAACATCCCGGCTCACCTTGAGAATCCACTAAAGGATAGGTCTTGAAAGCTGTGTCCCGTAGCAGTGCCTGCAGATCCCGGTATTTGCAGTTAGACCAGATGAATTTTACGTCACACACCATAATATCCTCGACAAAGACGTTGTATTTGCTTGAAGGAAGGAAGAAGAAGAAAGAGTGAGCTAACAGAAAGGAAAGGGGCTTTGTTCGTTAGCCATTCATTGCATCGATTTACGCTGTGTAATCTGCACTGAGTCTCAGTGAGACAGGCAAACTATGACCACAGTAAAGCATAAATAAGCAAATAAATAAATAAATATTCACCGGCAGGACCCTGTGAGTCAGTTAACAACGTCTGCAATCACAGTAAAACCCAATAAATTAAATACACATGAGAAGCAGGAAAACTTCTAGAAACTAACAGTGCAATCCTAAACAGGGCCTATGTGGAAGTAAATCCCATTTTAGTCAATGATGCTTAGTCCCAGGAAAGCATTCTTAGGACTGCAGATAAATAATAATGGCAAACCCATTGCAGTATATCCACTTGAAGCATTTCAAACGCCTGTTGCAAATTTTATTTATTTGTGTAAATAATGTGTGAATGTGAAACATTCAAGGCAGCTGGCGAAAAAAATTCACATCATGTGACATGCCACAAAAGACTGATCAAATGGATCAGTCAAATAATGTTTGGAATAAAGCAGTCTTTGCAGCCCGTTCGAAAGTTCATATTGAGCAGGCCTGCCACATGTCTAAGGAGGGAGTCCGATAAATGTGGGAATCACAGATGAGCAGGGCTATTTTGGGGCAGGAACGCACAGGAACGGAGTTCCAGCTGGCTCCCAAGTTGGCCACGCCCAGCAGGAACTCATTAGCATAATAGGCCACACCCAACAGCAGAAACTCATTAGGATTGTCTACGTTAGGGGTGTGTGGCCTAACATGCAAAGGAGTTCCTGCTACAAAAAAAGCCCTTTTGACAACAAACAGGGTAAACAGAATAAGAAGCAAAAAGTGGGTGTGGCTGTATGACTACACTTCTGGTAACATGGGGGTGCGGCCTAATATGCTAATGAGCTGTGTCACCAGGGGTGCGGCCTGATATGCTAATGAGCGGTGTCATCAGGGTGTGGCCTAATATGCTAATGAGCTTCTGCTGTTGGGTGTGGTCTATTATGCTAACGAGTCCCTGCTGGGCTTTTTCTACAAAAAGAGCCCTGCGATGAGAATAGATGTCCCTCTGCAGCAACTAGGAGGAGAGGAGGAAAAGGAGCAGAGGAGTTGACAACGTGAAGCCGGGGGACCTCCCCACAGAACGTCTCTTTACAAGGCAACATTCCCCACACACTGGACAGGAGTGGGGTTGCAACCAGTGTTCCCTCTAAGCCGAGTGAGTGTGAGCTAGCTCACAGTTCTTTAGCCTCCGGCTCACACATTGTCGTCTCAGCTCAGGAAGGAGGGCTCCAGAGCAAACTAATTTATGCAGCAGCCAAATCGCTCGCTCACAACTTTCATGCCAGGAGCTCAGAAAGTGCAATTTTTGCTCACATCTTAGAGGGAGCATTGGTTGCAACCCACCCCACCCCACCCCACCCCTGGCTCACCTTGAGAATCTACTGAAGGAAACATCTTGAAAGCTGTGCCCTGTAGCAGTGCCTGCAGATCCCGGTATTTGCAGTTCCCATCTTCTTGGCACTGGCTTCTTTTTTTCTTCTTTTTTTGGTATTGTGTGTGTGTGCATGCACCTGGACGTCATAATTGACTCCTGGCGACCCCTAGTGGGGCTTGGACGTTTCAGAGAGGTGGCTTGATATTGCTTGCCTCTGTCCCACCCCTGGTGTTCCTTGGAGGTCTCCCAAGTACTAGCTTCCAAGATCTGATGAGATCAGGCTTGCCTGGGCTATCCAGGACAGGGCTGGCACTGGCTTCTTCTTTGTGGCTGGGCCTCTCCCCTCCACCTACGCCACCCCCATTGCACCATCTCCTAATCTGCCCCCTTCCTTCTATCCTTTCCCCGGATGTACCTGATCTGATTCCAGCCCAAGTCCGGCAGGTAGGGCAACTTCTTCACTTGGATGATGCTGTCGTAGAGGCTCGGCTGCAAACTCTGGGCCACCATGTTGGCCAGGATGACGGCCACCATCATGGGCAGGATGTGAGAGATCTGTCCCGTCAGCTCAAAGCAAATCACCGCTGTGGACACCGTGTGGCTCACTGCGCCGGTCAGAGCCGCAGCGCCTTTCCCAGACGGGAGAGAAAGAGGCGGAAAGTCAGCATCGTACAAGTGGAGAGAGCTTGGGGGGAAAAATCTTCCAGCCACAGCGGAAAGTGAGGGCTGGACTTACCGATCACCGCATAACCTCCAGGTAAGATTTTGTAAAGAATGCCGTCGAATAGTATTCCATCGGGGAAGAGCCAGGCCATGATTTCACCCACCAGGCGTCCAAAGGCAGCCCCTGGGAACCATCAAGAAACCAACATTTCACACCCGGGAGCCTAACAGAGGAAACGGGTCCTCACCTCCGCACTGCCACATTTGTCAACGACATATGGAGAAATGCTCGGGGAATCGTTCACACCAGCCTAATTGAAATGCTCGGGAAATCGTTCACACCGGCCTAATCGTGGGCCAGCAGCAGGAAGGCTGTGGAGCTGCCACAAAGTATCTGAGATAGTAATCGAGGCTTCAGTAACAGACACGTGGAGAAGAAGCAAAATTACCATATTCTACTCCCGTGAGCTCAAAAGGTCCACTTTTCAACTGCAGGAAAGCTGTTTTGCACTGGCTACATACGACTGAAGTTCAAGCTGAAGCCATTGGAACTAGAGTAGCACAGACCAGCACTGGTGAGTTGTGGGCAACGGCTGGCGTGGGAGAAGGTGCAGGGAAAGGAGAAGCTGATGTGTTAATGGGTTTTCCCGAAAGGCACCGGAAGGGAAAGGGAGCCAGGGACCCAACTGCCTCCGAGAACCCTCTTTTCCCACGTGGGTTTGCATCTCCCTGTCAGCTCCATTACAGTCCTGACCTGGCTGTGAAAAATCCCCCTTGGAGAAGCCCTGGGAAAAGATGAAGACTCACCCAGCACAAACACAGGCATGAAGCCTCCGCAGGGGATCGGCATGGTAGTGGCCACCACAGACATCCAGAACTAGGACAGAGGGGACAGGCAGCAACGGTTAGTGTGTGGCACTGGCGTCTCTCACAGCTCTGCTGAAAGTCCGTTTGGTCAGGAACAGTCTGAGGGGAGCCTGATCGAGGCGGGGGATGGGTGAGGGCATTGCAGGCTTTGGGGTGCGGGAAAGCAGTGAGGGAAATTCATGCAAGCCATCCACATATCCTGGGCCGGGGCGGGGCGGGAAGAATGGGAACTAGGGACCGATCAGTATTTTACAAAATCAGTGCTTCCCCACAGCATTTGCTAGCCACCCCCTTACAGTAGGGATGGGCACAAACTGGGGAAAATGGAGGTTTGTGGTTCGGGGTTTTCATGAAACCGAACCACGAGCTTCCACGAACGTCTCCATTCCACAAACCGGTTTGTGGTTCGGGAAGCTTGTGGGGCCGCAGCCTCACCTAGGAGTGAGCTCCAAAGGCATTAAAATGCCATCGGAGCCCACCACTCGGGACCCGAGTAAGCTCCAAAGGCATTTAAATGTCTTTGGAGCCAACTTCTGGGTTGGTCCACCCAACCGGAAGTGAGCCACAAAGGTATTTAAATGCCTTCGAGGCCCACCTCCAGGTCCGGCCAGCCTGAGAGTGAGTTCCGAAGGCCTTTATAGGCCTTTGGAGCTCAGTCGAGTCAGACTGCTCGCCTCGACTGAGCTCCCAGAGTGAGCTCTGAAGGCAGTTCATGGGCGGATCATGGGAGGCGGTTCTCCCAAACCCCCGGTTCGCGAACCACGAACTGGCCTGGTCTGTGCTCGAACTGTGGTTCATTTATGGGCCTGTGCCCATCCCTACCTTACACCACTCCTCACTATTCTATCAAACAAACAGCAAAAATGCTCATAAACTTGTTCTGCAATGTTTTTTAAAAAAATATATGTTTAATGGGTTGGATCCTGTGATGTGTGAATGCAAGGACTGGGGACTCTTCCTGCATTTTTCTCCCCCCAGGAATCCCCTTCTGGCTTTAAACTAAATCCTATGGGGGAGGGAGACAAAGATCCAAAAGCTACCAGGGCTCTTTTTGTAGAAAAAGCCCAGCAGGAACTCATTAGCATAATAGGCCACACCCAACAGCAGGAACTCATTAGCATATTGGGCCACACCCCTGACAGCACAGCTCATTAGCACATTAGGCCGCACCCCCATGTTACCAGAAGTGTGGTCATCCAGCCACACCCACCTTTTGCTTCTTATTCTGTTGACCTTGTTTGTGGTCAAAACCCAGGGCCTTTTTTTGTAGCAGGAACTCCTTTGCATGTTAGGCCACATACCCCTAATGCAGCCAATTCCAATGAGTTTCTGCTGTTGGGTGTGGCCTATTATGCTAATGAGTTCCTGCTGGGCGTGGCCAACTCGGGAGCCAGCTGGAACTTTGCTCCTGTGTGTTCCTGCCCCAAAATAGCCCTATTACTCTTTTTGTATGGGGAGCAGTCAGTTATGACTCGCCAGCGGGGGAAACTCTGCATGCAGAGCACTGGAGAATGGACTAGGGAGGTGTGGGTTGGCCAGCTCAGGCTGTGCTGAATGAAAGGATCCCAACTCCGAGTTGGGAGATTCCTGGATATTTGGGGGTGGAGCCTTGGGAGGGCGGGGTTTGGGGAGGGGAGGGACCTCAGTGAGGTATAATGCCATAGAGCTCACCCTCCAAAGCAGCCATGGTCTCCAGGGAAACTACCCCTGGGCTCCTTACTGTCGGAGCTGCACTCCTGCAGTCCCAGCTCCACCTGGAGATTGGCACCCTGAGCAAGAAGGCTAGAAAGAAGTCTCACAGAGAGGGGGGGGGAAAGCCTGTTAAAGGGCTTAAAGGATGGTGCCGTTTGGGTCTTCCTCTTTGAAGGCAAAAAAGAAAAGTAGCTGTTCAGGCTTTGGTTTGGGGGTTTTTTTAATTACAAAGGAAAGTCACATGACTATGAAGCCAGCAATGCTCCCTCTAAGCTGTGGAGTCTTGTGAGCAAAAATTCTACTTTGTGAGCTACTGGCATTAAAGTTGTGAGCGAGCGATTGGGCTACTGCATGAATTAGTTTGCTCTGCCTGGAGCCATCCTTCCTGAGCTGAGACAAAAAAAAAAGTGTGAGCTGGAGGCTAAAAAACCACGTGCTAGCTCACACTAACTCAAGCTTAGAGGTAGGGCTGCCAAGCTGCGGTGGGGGATCCGCACGTCTTCACAGGATCCCTGCCGTGGGGGACAGCGATACGCGTTGCACCGCCGTCGCCAGGATGTGACTCTACGCGTCGCTCTGGCAACGGGACTCCAAACAGCCCCGTTGCCAGAGCAACGCGTAGCGTCACATCCTGGCGACGGCGGTGCAACGCGTATCGCTGTCCCCCGCGGCAGGGATCCTGTGAAGACGTGCGGATCCCCCGCCGCGGCTTGGCAGCCCTACTTAAAGGGAACACTGGAAGCCACAGCATCATTGAAGAAGACATCTGATTGGATAGACAGGAAGGTGGACTGGCATTGCCCTTTCTTCTCGCTATAAAGCACCAGGAGAGACGTCAAGATGCTACTGGAGCAGGCTGTCCCACCACCCCAACTACTACTATTGGTGGAAAGTTCAGAGGTGGTTTGCCATTGCCTGCCTTTGTGTAGCAACCCTGGGCTTCCTTGGCGGTCTCCCATCCAAGCACTAACCAGGGCCGACCCTGCTTAGCTTCCCGGATCTGACAAGATTGGGCTAGCCTGGGCCATCCAGGTTAGGGCCATCTGCTACGACCCTCCTATTAACACAGCACAACTGGCCTTGTTCAAAAAAGCACACCTTGCCTTAGTGGCTATCACTTGCTAAGTGCTCCAGGAAGTGATGCAGCACTTCTCTGGGACCTGAGGATATCCCTCTACATCTGCAAAGGGGAAACTGTAGGGTTAAGAGCTCTGTCAGCGCTTTCCGCACAACCCACGCTCTCAGACAGACGCCTACCTTCATGAGGAAGAAGAGGAGGATGATCACAAACACGCTGACTTTGGGGTGGATCCAGACCGCAGACTTCCCCAGGATCTGGGGGTCTTCTGTGTGCTTGACCCAAGTGTAGTTATCAAAGAGGCTGCTAATGGCCTCCCTGGGCATCAGCTGCAAAGAGAGAACAGCACTTTCTTGGATCTCGCCTATGGTGCTCGGCCAAGCTGGAAGCGTTCATCTGGCCTAAAGGAGCTTTCCTCCAACAAAAGAGGGCTGCTC